TCAAAGGCCTAGATTTCATGTTGGGGCGAGATTTCCTGAAGCGGTTCAACCCCGAGATCGACTGGGTTAACAGGAAGGTGTGCATCTACAACAACGGGAAGCGGATAGCACTACGAAGCTGGACGGACACAAGGGACGTTCCTGAAACAACACGGACACGGTTTGAACAGACGGTGAACGAGAGTAACATGGGATACCTAGCACTAGTTATGGCAGCAGATGAGGAGGAGAAGCCGAACGCATAGCTACCTCCAGCAGTGAAGGAGGTCTTGGAGCAGTATAAGGATATAATGCCCGACGACCTACCTGCAGGCGTACCTCCAGCACGCACCCACGAGCACGAGATCGTGGAGGAACCAGGTGCAAAACCCGTCTCACGTGCACCATACCGACTGAGTCCGAGCGAGCTGACAAACATGAAGAAACGGATAGATTATCTACTAGAGAGACAACTGATCCGCCCATCCACCTCTCCCTACGGCGCACCAGTCCTCTTCACTCCAAAATCAGACGGCAGTTTATGGATGTGCATCGACTACCGCGCACTGAACAAACAGACAGTTAAAAACAAACACCCCATACCGCGCATAGACGACCTACTGGACCAACTGCGTGGTGCAACAGTCTTTTCGAAGCTGGACCTACGGTTGGGTTACTGGCAGATCAAGATGGCAGACAACTCGGTCCCACAAGACGGCGTTCCGTACCAGATACGGCTCCTACAAATACTTGGTGATGCCATTCGGACTCTGCAACGCACCAGCAACGTTTCAGGCGGAGATGAATCACATCTTACAACCCCTGCTGGACGAGTGCGTAGCGGTGTACCTAGACGACATTCTTATCTACTCCAAGAACATGAAGGAGCACGTGGAGCATCTACGGAAAGTGTTCGAGATCCTGCGGAAAAACAAGTTCTACGTGAAGCTGTAAAAGAGTGACTTTGCCCTGAAGAAGGTGCAGTTTCTCGATCACATGGTGAGTGCCGAGGGCGTACACGTGGACCCGCGGAAAATCGAAGCCGTCAAGAAGTGCAAAGTACCGGAGAACGTGAAGGAGTTGCAGCAGTTCCTAGGCTTCGCCAACTACTACAACAGGTTCGTGCCACAGTACGCTAAGATAGCAGCGCCACTGACCGACCTACTGAAAAAGGATACGCCGTTCAAGTGGGATACTCCTCATCAGCAAGCCATGTAGCAGCTACAGACAGCATAGACTACAGCGCCAGTACTCATCCTACCGGACCCAGACAAGGACTACGTGGTAGAAGCAGACGCTAGTGACCAGGCAATCGGAGCAGTACTGATGCAAGATCACGGGAACGGTTTACAGCCTATCGCCTACCTCAGTGAAAAGCTACACGGAGCAGAACTGAACTACCCCATCCACGACAAGGAAGCCTTAGCTATAGTTGTAGCCTTCAAAGCGTGAGAGGTGTTATCTAGAGGGAGCCAAGACCACAGTCTATACTGACCACTGCAGTCTCAAATACCTGAAGTCACAGCCGACGCTCTCACGACGACAGGTGCGGTGGATGGACTTCTTGGAAACTCACTTCCACTACGACATCGTCCACAAACCCGGGCTACACAACAAGGCAGACGCGTTGAGCTGCCCCGATCATGTAGCAGGCATCCAGCTCGACGGGATGAACCCTCTCCTCAAGGGTCTATTCCAACATGGGTACTCCGTGGACACAGAAATCGCTACAGCACAGACTAAGAAGCTGTTACAGTGGGAGAAAGACTTAGCTGTAAGGAAGGGTTCAGGAAAGATTTGGGTACCGAATTACGCCCCGCTACGGCAGATCCTATTGGAGGAGTTTCACGACGTACCTTACGCGGGACATTTCGGGAGCAACAAGACGTTAGCAGGGATAGCAAAGTATTACTACTGGCCCGGGATGGCAGCAGGCGTGCAGCAGTTCGTCACCTCTTGCGACACGTGCCAGCGGATGAAGAGCAGCAAGCAGAAAAACGCAGGGTTACTTCAGCCTCTACCCGTACTGTATATAGCCTCGTGCTGTACCCAGGTGAATCATTCAATTACAATTCTCTTTTCTGAGCTCGATCCTAGATCCTCACACTTCCTCTCGGCAGGTCCATGCTCCTTGAGAGACTGACTCCGCACCCTCTTCCTCTCCCTCATGCCCCCAACTCATAACTGTCTCCCATCACATCCGCTGGATCAGCAACCTCAGCATGTGACCATCTATTGCATTCTCCAAAGCATTCCTCCTGTCTGCTTCGCTCACCCCTGGTGCTGCCATTGCATTCTCTCCATACCCCATGGCCAACTCTCGTTCCAGTGCGGTTGGTTCTTTCCACCGCCGTCTCCTATGATCATACACCTTTCCCGGCCCTGGTTTCCCAATTGCCCACTCATACCCTGCCGCCCCTTCATATGCCACCGGGGTGGGCAGGGCTCGTCTGTCCTGCCCCACCTGATTTCAAGGATAATGCCTCCTGTAGCCCTTCCGAAACACTGGCGCTGGAGTCCGCCCTGGCTCTAGGATGTCCTGCACCCTCCTTCCTGGTGCCCTCTTCACTCCATCTACCTCCTTCTACAGACTCAGGGCCAAGACAACATCCTGCCAGTACATCCTGAGTCGATGCGCATATGACCCTACTCTGGCTGCATCACAACTCACCCCTTTTCCCAGCTGCCCCTTGATTCTTTCCCTTACTATTCGGATCGGCTCTCTGCTATCTTCTTCCAGGTCTAGGTTCTCTAGTAGGTAGGCCAATCTGCCACGCCTCTCTTGTAGCAACTCCATGATGCAAAATAGGTCCTCCATCAGCTTTGTTCAAGGATCCTCTCATCCCTTCCCTTTACCTGCCCAAGACACCCCTTGAGATTCCCACCCCGCCACCAGCAGATCTACCTGCCCCCAGCTGGCAACTCTGCCTCTGTAGGTCATGAATGGATCCTCCCATGGCCTCTTGAATCACCCTCCTGCTCAGTAGTTCCGGGAATTTCGCCTGCAATTTCCATGCATGGTGCTCTGCCATCCTTCTCACCACCGGCTCCCTTTCTATGTATATCCACTTCCGCACTACTATTCCGCTCCTCATCACTGTTGACAGCCCTGCCCCTCTTCCTCCAAACAGTTCTACAAGGAGGAGGGCTGCTGCCAATCGCTTTGTCGCCTTGGATTGTCCATCCACCTCATCTTGGGCCCTCCCCCAGACCCCGTTCCCCCTCCCTGCTCCGCTGGCAGCACTCCTGTTGTGGCCTGGTATGCTCACTCTGGCTCCACCTTCACAAATCGCACCGGCAGTTGTCCCAACAGTCCCTGTTTCTTCCAGAACCGCGTCCAAAACTCCACCTTCTCCGTCGAGGTGCATATGGACATCCCTACCACAAACACAAGCTCAGTGCCCACCAGCACGTCAAAGTCCTCCGACTACGAGATCCCACATTTCATCCTAATTTTGGTCTCATGTTCTTCCTCCGGGAGCAGAGTCACTTCTATGGGTGTGCGGGTGCATGACCTCCATTTTGGTTCCCCTTCCTTTGCCGTCATCACTAGCATCCCCTTCGCCACGTGTCTTTCTGGTGCCATAAACCCCAGCCTCTCTGCCATTCCCTTGCCCAACGTCACACTCTGTGCTCCCGTGTCTATGATCGCGGTCTTCACCTTCTCTCCCTCCACCTCCATTGCTCCCCCTTTCAGCAGCAGCACTGTGGTCTGGCACGCCAGCCTTTCTTGGGGATGGCGCGCTGGTGGCCGCTCCAGCGCTGGCTCGTTTGGCTTCTATCCCCTCTCCTGCTCCTTCCTGCCCTGCTCCCGCCTACCATCCTTCACTCCGCTCCTCAGCCCCATCTCTTCTCTTCCTCTCCATGCCATGAGGGCACACTGCACATCCTGTTCCACCTCCTCTCCTTACTCTGGCATACATCCCCGCTTCTGCTTCCCATCTTAATCCTGATGCTTGCAGTTGTGCCTGTAGCCTGCTGATCTACCGCTGCAGCTCTTTTGGGTTTCTCCTAGCCCCTCCCTCTCTCTGATAACAATCCTTGGCCTCATGTCCCCGCTTCTTGCAGATCTCACACCTGGCTGCATCCGAGCATTCTCGCATTCGGTGCCCTGGCTTCCCACAGCCGTCATAGTTCTTGCAGTCCCTGCGAATGTGCCCTGGCTGCTTGCACCTATGGCATGTCCTGGTGTCAGCTCTTGCCTCCCCTCGCCCGTCTGTCCTCCCTCCCCCTTCTGGTATCATTGCTGCCGCCCAGGTTGGCCTGCGGCTTCTCTCCGCTGGCCTCGGCAGATATGTCTCATCCTTCCTCTGGGCGAGCTCCACCTTCTCTGCCAGGTCAAACACTTCATCCAGTCTCGCCTCCGCTCCCAACTCATACACCCTCATCTTCCGTCCTCCTCCTAGCGCCTCATCCAAACCCCCCAAGAACTTATTGATGAGGAGGCTGCTGTTCGAGCACCTCACGTCCTCTACCACATTGATTAGTCGGTTGTAGTTTGTCAGCAGTGACTCAGCCCTTACCTTTCTGAACTCTTGGAACTCCCTCATCCGCTCAGCCATGTGCCTGAGAAACTGCCTTTGCAACTGCTCCAGCAACGCCTCCGTGGGGTCTTCCCCGTAATTCCCTGCCCTCCACAATAGTTCATCCATTCTCATGCGGTACAACGTCTCTGCCTCTCCTTCCAGAGTGTTCGGCAAGCTCAGGATGAAATCCACTGGGTCGATGTCATTCCTGTCGCACCGATATCTTACGTTTCCCACTTGCATCAGATAGTTCTTGAACAATGGCCCCGACTGTTGATCTCCCGAGAATCTGGCTGGTACTTCCACCCTTGGTGTCGTGGCCGCGCTTCCACGCCCTTCTCCCCAGGATTCACCCGCTCCTGTGGACTGTCCCCCTTGTGCTCCCCATCCTCTGGCTCTCTCTATGCCTTCCCTTGCTTCTCGAGCCCGTTTTGCACCGTACGCCAGGCTCACGCTCCTGGTTCTGCTCGCCCGTGGACTGCTTCTTCTCTCGCAATGCAGGCCCCCAGAGCTCCTCTGTCGTCCCCCCTACCCCCATTGCCGGGCTGGCGAGCGATACGCCCTTTCCCATTCCTCCCGTCGTCTCTTGCACGGTCAGTGTCTCACTGGCGTGCGCGCCCATTCGTCCCTCTCCCATCCTTGCTGCCGGTGGCCATCCGATGAGCGCCTTGCCCCGTCACGAGTCTCTTCCCGCTCGCAGCGGTGGTCGGGTGAGCGCAGCTTGCCGCGGGGCCTCCATTCCTGCTGCTCCTGTCAGCGTGGCGAGCGCGATCCACCCGTGCGCCAATCCTCCTTCTGCCAGTGCGGCGCTGGCGACTGAGACTCCGCGCCTCTACTCCCTCCTTGTGACTGCTGACGATAGGGCAGGCGTGACCCACCCTCCCGTCTTCCTCCCCATCGTTGTTCCTCGTGCGGCGAGCGCCCTCTGCTGCCGTGTCGTCCAGCCCATGGCTGGCGTTCCCCAGGCGAGCGTGTGTCTCCCTCCCGCCGTTCCGTCGTCCACCGATGTCCTTCAGGCGTGTGCGAACGCTTCTCTTCCTCCGCGCGGTCCCCACGGCTACGACTTGCACGCATCTTCCCCGCGATTCTAACACCCCTTTTGCGTCATCTGAGAGGCGCCTTCCCATGCCGTCAAGACGTTCAGCGCGATGCTCCTCCCGCGCCATCCTCGATTCCTCCCCTGCCGCCTTGCCTGCGTTGGTTTGTCTGCTGGCACGGATTCCTCCTCCTCGGCTCCGGCAAGGTCGTCATGGTCCTTGCCTGCTTGGTCGTCGTAGTGCTCCTGCTCGTCATTCCCATCCCCCGCATTGTCATCATGCGCCTCCTTCTGCGTTTGGTCGGCCTGAGATAATTCCTCCTCCCTGCTGACCCCAGAGCCTCCTCCTTAACCGCAAAGAGGTTCCTCTCGTCCACGCCAGCGACCTCGGTTGTCGCGTCGCTGTTCCCTAACTTCCAGGGAGCAAAACACCCCGACGTCACGGTGGTGACCGCGCTCGCCTTCGGTGAAGGTGCACAGCTTGCTGATGCAGCAAACCTCTCTCCGCTCGCTTCTCTGTGCGTCAAACTTCCTTCCCGTCGGCTCAGCTCAACCGCGACCCAATCTGCGCGGATGGTCGGCCTCCTAGGGGATCGCTCTAAGAACCGCCCATGCTCCTGCGAGCGCTCATGCCACGGCCGTTCCTCCTCTCATCGGCTGAAGATTGTGCCCCAGAGCAACTCATACTTGTCCACTCTACACGTCGAGACTTCTTGTTTGTTATGAAAGAGATCGCTCCCTCGCCCCAATGGTTCCCTCCTGGTGGCCTGTCACTGTGTGCTAAAAGCTAGAGTGCCAGCTTCCACTATCACGAGAGAATAACAAACAACAAGCATCGAGGAGTTGGGCGTGTTTGACCTTACTCAACCCCAGGCTGCACATTTCCTAATGTGCGGCTCGGGGTTGGGATGCATTTGTGTTTCACATTTCGCCCTTTGGTGCCTTTCCCTCGCTAACTCAACCGCTCCTATGCAATTCCCCCCTTCTACAACCCCTTGCAACAGTCACTTTGCTACATTCTATACCCCTACACTAGTTCTATTGTCTATGCATTAAATGCATATTCGATTATACCCTCAAGTACTTCCTAGACCAGCAACCAACTGTTATTGCAGATGCATCAAGTGCATATGTGGTGACACATCGCTGGCTGACTGAATGGCTTTCATCTAATGACCATCCAAGATTGATTATCTAAGGCAAAAAAAAAATTGGACGATGCAGGGATGACTACAGCTAGCTTAGTTCTACGTACATGACTGTTCTAGGTAGCAATAGTCTCTGCCTCGGTACAAACAGTTAAGCATCCATCACCCAGTCTGCCTTGTTCGGGAGATCCGAATCTATGTCTCTGCCTCCTGTTTGTGCTTGCATGAGCACTTGCTTGCATTGTGGTCCAGCTGTCCAGGCTGCCCGCATGCTCGAACGCAGTACTTGCCAGCTGATGGTTCGCTTCTCGCATCCTCGTTAGCAGCTCCTTGCTCTGAAAGGAAACGTGCACACCGGACACCATTCACCCCTACGCACACCGCTGCACACCACATGCTGATTCGATACTGCATCTTCGAATATGTGCAATACATTCCATGCTCAAGACCCTCTTATAGTACACAAACTCCAGTCGGTCATGAGGTCACTGATGCTGCTGCACTATTAGTGTAGATTCGTTACACGTCAAGCACCAAGTTTTTTCTTACAACCGACCTCCAATCCCTTCCCTCTACTTCTCTTCCGCGCCTTCGGCCGCTCCACCCCCCGCAACTCCAGCTTGCAGGCACATCCCCCTCCACCACTCTCAGGGATGCCTTCCTCTCCTACCCCATTCCCCGCCGCCTCCTCTCCATGCCATCAGCCTCCAATTTCCATCCACACCCCCTCCACTCCCCCTACCCCCCCCTCTCCTCTTGGCTCCTAATTACCCCACTCCCCCCATACTCCCTCTAATCCTGGCTCCTCCCATTCTCACACCTCCCTTCCTCCCTCCACTCCTCTTGCCTCCTCTCGTCTTACCTCCACTCCTGGTCGATCCTATCTGATCACCTGTGTAGGCGGTCACTCGAATTGCGATGGGCAACCTCCATGACTCGCATAGCTTGCTGCGCCCGCATCTGCATTGAGGTGAGGTGGGGCCGCCTGATAGTCACTACAGCCCCTGGGAAGGGCCGATTCGGGACATGCGGAAGAGAAACGGGGGACATGGAAGTTGAAATGGGCGCGCATGCTGCCTGCCCCTTGTTCTCCTCCCAATGGAGTCTGGCAAGGCAGCTCCATCCCACGGCTTGCCTGCCCCTTAGCTCCCAAACCTTGAGCACGACTCACAAGAGACAGCTCGTGGACGCTTCTCAAGACCAAGCCGCATTTGGCACACACCTCCCCTTCCATCGCATCCTCCTCCATAACATACTAGCCCCCGTCATACCAAACGCACACCATGGGGTTAACCATGCCCTTTTCCCACGCCGTTACCCATGCCGTTACCCATGCACTCCTCAGCAGCACCCCGCACTGGCACAGACCTCACCCTCCACCAAGAAAGCTATGCAACAGGCCACACATAGAATCCAAAGCCAGAAGCCCTAAACCTTAAGCTGACTCACAATAGACAGCTCGTGGGCGCTCATGAGGACCAGGCTACACTTGGCACACACCTCTCCCTCAATCGCATCCTCCTCCACCACATGCCAGCCCATGCCGTTCCAACGCACGTCCTGCCTCCTCGCATTGTATGCACCCATGCCACGCACCATAGGGTTATCCATGTCATTTCCCATCCCTCCTCTTCCCTGTGCATACGGGCCGTCATGGCCGGGAACCCCCCTACTAGGCGCACCGTTAAGATGAGCCACCCTCCTCTCCTCCTTGCCCACACCCTCCTTGTCACTCTCCTTGCCAGAACCACCACCACTGGCACCATCGCTACTCCCCCCACCGTCCCCATCATCCTCATCATCATCGGTATTTGACCCATCGCTCGCAAATAAATGACCATCACCACCAGCTTTTTCACTCCATCCCCCACTCGGCCCATTAGCAGCCGTAGCATGCATTTCTCGAGGGCAAGCCATATGCTCATTTTAATCGCTAGCACAGCGCCCTTTGCTCCCAGTGCCACCCTCTCCTTGACAAGCATTTCTTCTCTCCACGCCGCTTCTACTGCTCTTGCACCTTCTGCTGACGACGCAGCTGTTGCTGCTGCTGCTGCTGCTGCTGCTGTTGAAGCAGCATCTGCTGCTGCTGCTGAGACGGCTGCTCTAGCCTGTGTGTTTCAACCAGCTTTTTCTGCATTGCTGCATTGGTAGGCAGAGAGGAAGTGGGGGCAGATGGAGAAGAGGGGGGAGGAGCAGTTCGGGTTAAAGGAGAGGGGGAAGTGGGATCAGAGGAGGGGACAGAGGAGGAGGGAGCGACAGGCTTTGAGTCATCAGTTGAAGAGTAGGAGGCGGGGGGAGGCTGAAATAATGCAGGTGTGGGCGGGAGAGGAAAGGATGGTGTAGGTGAAGTAGATGCGTGGAGGCGAGGAGATGCATTGGGGAGGGAAGATGGGAGAAGCACATCTATGACTCTTGTGGCTCTTGCGGCTGTTGTGGCTGTTGTACTTGCTGTGGCTGTTGGGGTTCTTGTGGCATCCGTAAGTCCAATGGCTTCCTTATCAACCTCTTCCTTGGCCTCCTCCCCCTTAGATTCATCCTCCGCTTTCTCCCCAGTGCCCTCAACTCCTCCGCCTCCCATTTTCGCCTCTCCCCCCACCTCTCCCTCCATCTCTCCCTCCGTTCCCCCTGCCCCTTCCTCACTGCACCTGCCTTCCTACAGCTCCTCCTGCTGTTCCACCCCTTGTTGCTCCCTGTACTGCCCTCTCGCCTCAGCGTCCAGTCCACCTCCCTTGCTCTGACTCACTGCCTCCCTCGCCCCTATCTCCTGTCACCCCACTCCAGTGCACTTCATCGTCCCGCGTCATATTCAACCCCCCCGCTCTATCTTTCCCCACCTCCTGCCCCTCTTGCCCTTCTTGTCCCTCTTCCCTCACTCACTCCAGCATATATCTCTTCCGCTTCTCGGCCCTCCTCCCTCCACACCTCCGCTCTCTCCCCCACTCGGGTCAGAGCACACCAAATCATCCACATGCACACATTAATCTGCATTTGGGGGGTTATTTCGTCGAATCAAAGTTCACCTTCGTGCCCCTGTCGTCCTCGGAGGAAGGGGAGCCCGTTTGATGCTATTGCGCACCCAGGCGGCTTGGCGGAGGGTGACATGCCACCACGCATGCTTCGTGCCCATGTGGATTAGCATCGTCCGCACGGCCTTGACAACTGTGCGCATCTCCCGCCCCACCATGCCGTCTGCTGTGAAGTGTAGGGGCATGTGAGGTTGATATTTTGTCCTCGACAAGGTCGGTGAAGGTCCGACCGAGGAACTCCCCTCCACGGTCAGAACGCAGCATTTTCACCGTCTTCGAGGTCTACCGCTCCACCACCTTCGGCCACTTCTCGAAGACGACCAGCACATCGCTCTTCTTCGCGATTAGCCAAACCCACACATAGCGGGTCTTGCGGTTGTTGAGGAGGAGGAAGTAGAGGCTCCCATCCTTGGTGGCCATGCGGAAGGGGCCGTAGAGGTCGATGTGAACGACGTCGAGCGCGTTCTAGGCGGCCAATCCCTCGGGGAAAGTGTGTCGCGCCAGCTTGCCGTCTACGCAGGAGACGCAAGGCAGGTTGGCCCCAGACAACAGCTGGATTTCCAAGCCAGTGGCAAATACATGCGCCGCTAAACGTTTGATCATGTCGAAGTCGATGAAATCAGTAGAGCATGCCAGATGTCTGGGGTCGACTTCGTCGACGAGGCGATCGTCCGCAGAGCAATTGTCCCTGTCAACGTTGACGTCGGTGTCGACGAGCAGGGGTAGAGTCGGTGCAAAGGACCCGTCCTGTGTAACGTGGTCAACCGAGCACATCTCTTGTAGCGGAAATGAGTAGCATCTCATCGCCCTCGTCTTGCAGCTTCACGCCGATGCCATTTTACTTACCTGCCGACAGCATATTCGACTGCACACCTGGGACG